CTGTTATTGTGAAATGGAAGCACCGAGGAGCAACAACAGCTTAGCCACGAAGCGATAAACCATTCAAACTGGCAGAGAGAGGTAGCTGGGTGCTATTCTTTCTTGAATCACTCACTAAAGTGTTACAAATTGCCTCTGGAAGCAACATCAGCAAAAGAACGATGCGTTAGGAGCTTCACAAAATGGGTTTCCAGGACTGAGCAGCTACACATAAGCCTAAGATCAAAATGCACAATGCCAAGCCTCAGACATAGTGGTGTAAAGCATGCCGCCACTGGACTCTGGAGCAGTGGAAACGTATTCTGTGGAGTGACGAATCATGCTTCTCTATCTGCCAGTCTGATGGACGAGTCTAAGTTTGACGAATGCCAGGAGAACGTTACCTGCCTGACTGCATTGTGCCAACTGTAAAGTTTGGTGGAGGACAGATAATGCTACGGGGCTGCCTTCAGGGTTTAGGCCCCTTAGTTCCAGTGAAGGGAAATCTTAATGTGTCAGCATACCAAGACATTTTGGACAAATCTATGCTTCCAACTTTGTGGGAACAGTTTGGGGAAGGGTTGGGGAGTTTGGTGTGAAAGAACTTGACTGGCCCGCACAGAGCCCTGACATTAACCCCACTGAACAACTTTAGGACCTTTAGAACTGAGATTGCCAGGCCCTCTCGTCCAATATCAGTGTCTGACCTCACAAATGCTCTTCTGGATGAATGTTCCCACAAAATTCCCACAGACACACTCCAAAATCTTGTAGAAACATACCCAGAAGAGGGGAAGCTATTATAGCTGCAAAAGGGGGACCAACTCCATATTAATGCCTATGGATTTACAATGAGATGTCATAAAATGTCCTGTAGGTATCCCAATACTTTTGTCCATAAAATGTATATAAAATGTAGTTATTTAATTATGTATTTTTTAATACTTCAAGTATTCGTGTAATATTTCAAAGTTTACAAGTGCCTATATTTTGCTGTTGACGTTTTGTCGTATTTTGAATAAACAATGGCCAGTTCAGGTCATTATTATTTAAAAATAAAATAAAAATACAGACATTCTTAGACCCAAGGATTTCTTGAGGTCAAAGGACCTTTTAGTGGTTGAGTTTGACATCCCTGTTCCAAACACAGAGAGTTATTGCACAAAATGGTTACAAATATGCTGTGTTATGTGTAAGGCACTGTTTTACCATAGTACATTTGGTCTTTTATTTTTTACTTTTTTTTAACAATAGTACTATTTATCACCATTACATATAAAAATAATGTGTGGGTTCACTGTTTTTTTTTTGTTTTGTTTTTTCATGGTAGATAAAATGGCTATAATTGCATTGGAGACATTGCAACCTAGCACAACTTAGTGCTCAAGTACAAATTCACAGCTTCATACTGTCTCATATGTGACCAAGCCACTGCATGCACAATACAATACAAGGCCCAGGCGTGAGCACTGAGCTAAGAAAAAGAACACACAGCCAAGTAAAGGCCCACAAAGAGGATGCCTGGCAATGGATTTTAATTGCGAGGGAATCGACAGCTAATCCCACGACTTTAGCCCTTGGCGGGTGACAAATAACATCAACTATCTCACAGGAGAAAGCTGAAGCCTCAGGTTAAACCTGTTGAGGGTGTGGTGGAAAGGTGACCCAGATGAGGAGCAAGTGAGGCAGCGGTAGTGCAGGAAGGTAAAGGTTGGCAGCAGCATTTTCCTGATACAGAGTGCCAGCAGGGACGTGTGGGTGGCACAGCGCAATGACTCAGTGATGCAGCTGCTGCTGTTGCTGCAAAAGCCAAGAGGAGGGGGAGATATATAGATGCCACTTATTCTCCACAGTTGCTGAAGGAATTTGAGTTTAAACGGCTCTTTTTCTCTACCAGCAAGGTACTTTGTGGATTAAATATACAGCATTTTAAACTTTTTAGCTCTCCCTCTATTGCGGCACAACGTCCCCTACTAGAAAAAGTCTCCCCCAAATCAGCGGATAACAAAACAAAATATCTAAACACAGCTATCAACATAGATTTCAAAATGTGCCGTGGAGTGGCTCCAACATTTTTTGACATTCATTTCATTTGAGCTGTTTCTGGCATTTATATTTTACAAACTCTCAAACTCTCACACCTTTTTACACTGACTTCCGAAATAAAAATGACAACAAAATAAATAAAATAAAGGTCAAGCTGCCGCCACCAGCTTGTACACCTGCCTCAGATCACGGGGGTCTTCCTGGATGATTGCCAGGTGAGTTTAATAAGACATGTCAAAGCACAGAAATAGTAACATATAGGGAGGCACCAAAATTCTTGCCCCCGCAAAGAAAAATAGTGAAAAACAGAAAATAGTGTTCCCTTTACTCCCCTGAGTCAAACACAGATGTATTCAAACAGTGAAAATGTTGGCCGTGAGCAACTCCCGGTTTCTACAAAGGACATTAGAACAGCGATTTTAAATCTATGTTAATCAAGAGGAGATACAAAGCCCACCAAATTCTCCATTACAGGTTTGATACTAATGGAAAACAAGACATGTCACTTGATATACAGAACACAACAAAACAACAACAGAGGCAGAAATCAAGGTTCTGCAAGCACACCAATGCTATCTGCAGCCACAGCTTTTGAAATGATAAAAAACTCTCAAACGACAGAGCCATAGTTCAAATCAGAACTAAAAATAATGGAAATCATTGTCTTAGATGACCAGCCACTCCCTGTTTTTGAGAGAACTGATTCCAGGGCACACACTGTAGCCTACATGCTGTAATCATTTTATTAAGTTTATTTTATATAAACCGTTTTTATTCACTGTCAATCTTTTTCAGTTTTCGGTCAGTTAGGTCAATTAGTCAATTTTCTATTAATAATGTGAAGACGAGTTCAATTTTAAACATTACCATTAACTACAGTCATGAAGTAATGGCCCAAGGAGGCCTTGATAAAATACGTACACAGCGCGTTTCCACTAGGGTTCCATGACAATCAGTCATACTACAGGTAATATGCCAATGACACTCACTCACTGTATCTTTAACCTTGACGTTTTTAAAACAGCGCATTTATAATTTCATTAACTGAACAGCCTAACCAGCAGCTTTCCAGCACTGTATGCCCCGAGTCCAGTTTCGGCAATAACCTTGGGCTGGACTGACCGCACATTCGATGCGGGCGACACGTGAGCTGAAAGTGGTCCGAGAGTGACTTGCTAGTGTGATGTGCGTCACCTTGACAACCCTGCATTACAACAGTGAATGACAGTCCCATGAGCATCTGGCGTGATTGCACCATGCATTCCACCCATACCAGCAGCAAGCAGCGGACGTGGATGACTAAGACATCTCGCTAAAAACAATGGGCCTAAAAGTGGGGATTGCCACTTTAACTACAGCAAGAGGAAGCCTTACTGCATAGTGTGAAATGCACAGATTGCCAAGCGCAGATGCTGTGGAACAATCAGGGAGGAAACACCCACAGGTGCCCCCCAAGAAAACAAAGGTCTAAATGCATGCCAGGACAACAGAAGGAAAAATGACGTTAACTCAGGAAACGTCTATGGATTTGATGAAATCTCTTCTGCAGCTCTGGCAATTTATAGACAGGCCGAATGAAATGTCAGAAATAAGGAAACCATGAAGGGACAACAAGGGCGGTGAGGAAAGGAACGTTTAAAATTTAGTTCAAATAAGATTCGTGGAACTTCGTAAGTTATGGAAACAAGATAGCAGACCTCCTACACCTGATCTGAAAAGGCCATAAGCAAAGTCATCTGACTCCTATTCTTCATTAGTCATACTGTCCACAACCGAACACGCTGACCACAGATGAGAGTTTGCAGGTTATGAGAGGAAAAGAGAAACATATTTCTTGCCACAAAAAGAAAGTTTAAAACAGGAACAGTTTGATTTCTGCATGTGTAGGTTCCTGCTCAGCTTTACAGGGGAATTCCACTGATTTTTTCAAAATTTCTGCATAACTTATTCTCGTGTAAACAAAGTAGAGATGGGAAAATTGGTATCCTTAAGTATAACTGCCAGGCTGATGCCAACAGAAAATGCTGTAATGTGGGGAGGGGGGTGAAAATGATTAAAAATGTTAATCTTAGGTGAAGTTCTTCAACTCAAAATAGCTTTTTTATTAAGTTTAGCAGTTTTTAAAGAAAAAATATCAGATCTGACACAAGCTTTCAACATTGGTAGCAGAAAAGATAAAGTGGCACCACACCATGTCTACAAAGATGGTGGATCTTCTTTTTTTAATTTACCAACATTGCATACTGAAAGTTGTCTCAGAAGAGATGTGGAGTTTCACGGGTCGTTTTGGGTAAATGAAATAATAACACATTGAAAAAAATGAAATGGCTATATTCGCCTGTTGTGACCTCTGGTTCCTATCACCACCACTGATAAAAGGAAAAAAACACTGTGTAGGTTACATTTCTCCACAGCGCACCATTTTATATCAAACCACTCTGAATTACTTTATATACATCACAACAACTGAATTATGCAGAAACTGTTAAAAATCCGTGGCCCTGCAGTCTAACGGGTCTTCAATATTTAGTAACATTTAGGCAGATGCTACACTGCAGCATGCATGTTCCTCTTTTTCGGATGCAAGTGGTCCTTCTCCTATCACACCACATGCCGATCAAGTGTTTAGACTGTTCAGTTCACCGAGTGCAATACCGTGGGCATCAGGAGATCTATTTAAATGAGCTCGGCTGCCTCTAATAGGAAGCATGTGCATGATGGACAAAGTGGAGAAAGGGATTTCCCTACGTAACTAGCGAGCTGCTCGGCGCTCGTCAAACCTCAGCTAAAAGCACTCGATTTCGACATCATCTCTGCGAAGCACACAGCGCGAATAACTGTCAGGATCATGCAATCCGGGAGCCGCGATGCTTCACAGTGAGAGCTGGTGATGAATGGGGGCTGGGCTGCTAGCAACAAAACCCGAGTGCTACGACCGCGGACACCGCACAAGTGGCCTTTTATGTCGGACTCACCTGGCTATAATGCACCGTGAACGGTTTCAGGTAATTCGAGTTGGTGCACGGAACGACCTGGATATTATTAATCTGCTCCATTGTATCAGAGAGAGCTGCCCACCGGCGCTTCTCACCACAGCTTAGCCGAGCCGCAGATTAGCCTACAGTGGAGGAGACGGACTGAGTACGGAAGCCTGTGAGGGGCAGAAGAAGAGCGTCGGCTTTCGCGCATGTGTTTTCAAGACGAAACGTCAGCGAGGCTTCGGTGCAGCCGTTCAAGGTGAAGACTGACTTGTAACACGGTAATGAGAAGCCATTCACAGAAAAGAAGCGGGGGAGAACACGGTTTCCCGCCCAGGGTGGAAACTAGGGCGCGTTTTGCCGCGCAGGTGTTTGATGGCGCCAGTTTATTGCCAGCTTCTTCCCGCCAACCACAGTCAATCACGCCGAAACCGTCAAATGCGCTGTTAATGATTATTCGGCTTCTACCATGCGTGGAGCGCAACACACCTGCCTGCGCGCGCAGAACTCGAAACACAGCAGTACCTGCACAGTCTGTTACTCAGGAATATTGATCTGGTTGGTTTTTAATTAAAGCTGTAATTTAAAGTCACAGGACTGATAAATCTGTTAGAATACCCACCCTCTAGTTCTTGGTGTCCAAAAGTGTGTAGACACCTTCTATTTCTTCTGAATTCCCCACCCCCCCATCACCCCTTTGCTACAGTAACAGCAACTCTTCTGAGAAGGCTTTGCACGAGATGTTTTAATGTTGCTGTGAGGATTTGATTGCATTCAGCCAGAAGAGCTTTAGTGAGGTCAGGTACTGATGCTGGATGATTAGTTCTGGATCACAAACTCCACTCCAACTCATCCCAAAGATATTGGATATCACTAGAACACAAATTTACCGCTCCCCAGCTCAGTGCTGGAGAGCTTTATAGCCTATAGGTGACCTAGCATTGGGCATGGTGACCTCCCAGGGCCACCACAGAGCAGGTATTATTTGGGTGGTGGAACATTCTTAGCACTGCAGTGACACTGACGTGGTGATGGTGTGTTTGTGTGTGTTGCGCTGGTACGAGTGGATCAGATACAGCAGTGCTGCTGGAGTTTTTAAACACCTCAGTGTCTCTGCTGGACTGAGAAGCAAAAATATACAACACCAACAGCGTCCTGTGGGCAGCATCCTGTGACCACTGATGAAGGACTAGAGGATGACTAACACAAACTGTGCAGCAAATATGGGAGTATAGAGTGGACAGTGAGTGGACACAGGGTTTAAAAACTGCAGCAGCACTGCTTTCCTCCAGGTACTCTGGTACTGCAGTCCAAAGACATGCAGTCAGGCCAACTGGACACGCTAAATTGCCCCTAGCTGTGAATGTGTGTGTGATTGTGAGTGTGAATGTGTATGTCTGTCTGTCTGTCTGTCTGCCCTGCGATGGACTGGCGACCTGTCCAGGGTGCCTTCCGCCTGATAACAGATAACAGCTGAGATAGCAACCATCCGCGACCCAGAAGGATAAGTGGTTTAGAAAATGTGTGTGTGCATATATATATGCACACACACGTGTGTATACATATATATATACATAAATATACACACACACACACATTTTTTAAATCACTTATCCTTCTGGGTCGTGGAGTCCATCTGTTTCTCTGCATACTTTGTTAGCCCCCTTTTCCCCCACAGCAGTGCTGAGAATGATCCACTCATACCAGCACAACACACACTAACACACCACCACCATGTGAGTGTTACTGCAGTGCTGAGAATGATCCACCACCCAAATAGAACCTGCTCTGTGAGGGTCCATGGGGGTCCTGACCACTGAAAAACAGGGTAAAAGGGGGCTAACAAAGTATGCAGAGAAACAGATGGACTACAGTCTGTAATTGTAGAACTACAAAGTGCACCTATATAGTAAGTGGAGCTGATAAAATGGACAATGAGCGTAGAAACAAGGAGGTGGTCATGATGTTATGCCTGATCAGTGTATACACACACACACACACACACATATACACATATATATATATATATATATATAATATATATATATATATATATATAATATATATATATATATACATGTATATATATACATAAAATAATTAATTTTACTTTCATTTATTTTGACACCTGCTCCAAGATAAAATTCCTTGCACATCTTGTACTTGGCGAACACTAAAGAAGATCCTGATTCCAGGGCATTTCACAAACCAGGACTTCTCTGTAAGCTGGATATCTATTTTAAGCCAAAATGAGGAGTGCCAAATAAGAATGCCTCCTGCCTCTTCTCTTACTGCACAGGCTTGACTTTTGACTCATGTGGCTAACTGAGAAAGGCTGCTTTGTGAATACTAACTGGTTCTGCTTGCATTATTTACATATACACAAACCATTTGGAGCATTTAAATGTGTGTAGTCATAAAGTATTCATTGTTAGATCCTGCTGGCCCATTTACAGCTGTGGCCATGAGGTTCAAGAGTGTAACATTTTCCAAGCTCCTCTTTCTGTGTTTCAGAACATTCACACTGCCACCCTGTATGAAGCTTTAAGACACTTTGTGGTGAGGCCTTTTTCAGGCTCTTGAATGTGGATAATTTTGGTCACCATAGTGACATTTCAGTTCATGAATTCAAATGGAGTGATTTGTATGTGTGTATTATACACATAAGTACATCCCAAAGGAAAATGTTATTACTTAAATGTTGCTCTTTGATGGCTCTGAAAACTTAATGGTGATTCTCCTTCAATTCTTTAGAAGAGATAGTATCAGACAAAAAGCAGATATGAGACCAGGGGAGAGATAAAGGAGGGATGAGAGTTTAGTCGCAGATGAAGATGAGTGCTATTGTTTTGGCGAATCTGAACACATTGTGTGAGTTTACTGAGATCTCTATTCAAACTCAAGAGGAGACACGTGAGATTACTGGGGTCTTTTGTTTCGGAGAGATATATGAGCAGTTAAACTCTCCTCTGTCTTTCCTTCTGATCTCATTGTTGTCTACAAGAAACTCATACTGGAAGGATGGACAGAAACACCTGTGGATTTTTTTTCAGATCTGAAGCATGAATGGAGCTTAATTTTCTCCAATCACTCAATGATGAAAGCTTTAAGTGCTGTTTGTCTACCAGGTCTTTAACAGTTGCTGGTCTACCAGGTCCTTTGACTTTCTCCTTACTTATGCAAGTGCATTATTTTATGTCTAATCGCTTTAGAAATATCTCCTGAAAAATGAATAACTTGTACTTAATGGCCTCTTTGAATGAAATATTATCAAGGGGGATGATAGGGATGGTGGTTGAGAATGGTAGGTATGCTGAATTCATTTTGTTTTAGCACAGGAAAAAAACTCGTTTCCACTTTATATTAAGTATCTCTAATAACTGTGTAGTTACATGTGAACAACATTTGTAACAACAATGTAACTACTAATGATTTAGTCACTGTTACAGATGGATTACAGAAGTACAGCTTATGTAATTACACATATGTATTAACTTCAGTTTTGCCTCATGTAATTAAACGAGTGTATCTTGATAGTTGTAACAGCCTATTCTCTCTCATGTAATTACACAAGGGTAATAACACAAATATAATTACATTTGTATTCAGGATGGAACAGCAGTTTTAACAGCAGTAAAAGGAAGTATGTAATAACTTACATTAAAACATTACTGACACTGTATCTGCCAGCTTTCCTAACATTTAGCTAGCATTTATATTGCTAGTGCTGTGGACATATATGTGACAGAACAGCAGATGTCCACTTATCTTAAAATCTAACGTTTATGATGTTAATTAAATGTGTTGCATTTCCCCCAAAGCAATGTTTATATTACCACTCCTTTATTACGCAGTACCTGCATACCAACTACACAGGAACTGTCCACTTATTTTAAAGTGTAACTTTAACACTACACTACAGGAAAGGTCCATGTAGTTGTTATATAGGTGCAGTGTAATTACAGAATGGTATTAATCAATGTAATGTGATTGGGTTACCTTGTACAACACAGTTATTCCATAGTAATGATTTAAAACATAAATGTAATTTTATATAAAACATACTTCCTTTTACTGCTGGAAAAGACTTCTAATCTGTAGGGTATCAAAAGGATACACACATAGGCTGTAGTTCTGTAATCTATCTGTAACACAGTAGTTACATTTTTGTTGTATATGTTATTTATGTGTAAATATACAGTTATTAGAGACACTTAATATAAAGTGGGACCAAAAATTCTTTTAGATATCACTCATTTTATACTGTCTTTTTGTCTAGTTCCTTTTTTAGTAACAGCCTCTTGACAGCTACACCTCATTTCAGACCCACAGCGATGTCTTCACACAACAATAGTCTGACTTTGACATACCTGGGTATTGGAATCCATTCTGAGCTATCAGCTGCAATCAACTGTGAACATAAACAGCTTGTGACAATGTCTTTTGTTCTATGGCACATTTCATAATTTAAAGGCAACTGGATCTCAGATATGGGTGGAATTAACATAAAGATAGTAAACTTTGGCCTCCTCTACTCACCTGGTCACTCTAGCTAGCTGCTACTGCTGTAGACTTTAAACCCCATCAGGACATAGCAAGTTAATCCACCACCAATTGTTGATCTGCTATCTAACTAACCAATTTCATTAATGATGGCACGTTCTGCACTTGCTTACAAAAACAGCCCAAGTTCTGCTTCCTAGCAGAGCCATCTTACAACTGATTTTACACCAACAGAACCAACAGGACAGTCTTCAGTCATGTACAACGTTTCCATTCAGGCAGCTTAAATGTATCACTGAGCTTGTACTTTACATGTCCACCACATGGACCGTTTATTAATGTTGTATGGAATATATAAACATTTACTGCCCAGATAAATAGCTTTGCACATAGAGGATCACAGGAGAACTCCAACTCATTTGAGTTACTTAACAGTAATGAATAAACAAGCAAATAAGATTGCAGTTTTTTATTCATTGATTTTGGGAGGGGAGCCTTTAAGATCCTAATTCTGTCACTGATTTTTATTCTCAGTTTGAGACTCTCTGTTTTCCCTCAATGAATTGATTTAATTTGCTTGCTAAACTTAAAACCATGAAGTTTGAATACTCTGAATGTAAAAAAGGGGGGAGGGAAGAGGTTTAGATGGTTTATG